CTTCAGTGGCCATTCTTTTTTCTATCAGTAATGTTATGGCTTGGCTTATGTCACAAGAAGTGTGATTTAAGTAATCAGTAATCAATTCACCTAATCTGAAACCTAACCTGTTACTTTGTTGGTTTTCTTTGCATTTAGTTTGGTGAAGTCCATCATTAGGGGCACTGAGACAAAACAGCTGGCAGGCAGGCACCCCACTGGTTATCACCTACTAACGATTTATTAATTTAAAAAATATAATTAACTGTATTTATCTTTTCTTGGTCTGATCATGTGATCAGTAGTCTAATAGGCTTCAATGTTAACAAATATGCATGTATGCCCCTTTTTTTAGTATATTCACAGAGTATTCAGGCTGTACCAGAAAAGAAGTGGGTATTGTTCATTTACAGTGGCATTATGAGTACTTCCTCCTCTGCTTTAGGAGAGCTAAGAATTACTGGCAATCAGAAACACCAGCAAGAGATTAATTTTTTGCTTCAGATGTGGATGTCTCAAACTGTGATCACCCACTTTCCTCTGCAGCAACAGCCAGAAAACTGGTGGAAACTTGTATAGCTAAGAAGGCCATTCTGTAGCACACCATTTCATGTTTCAGAGCTGAAGGAAACCAATGAAGATATATGAATGACATTCATTTTATGAATGCAATCAAAGCAATCACAACAGGCAGTATCTGGCCTGTGAAAGTCAACTGACTTTAGACAGGTTCTTCAGAGACTGATATACAGAGAGCTGATACACAGAATGTGCTGAAAAATGAAACTGAAGCTTAAATTGTAAGCCCTAAAATCAGCAAATAGTCCGAATTTCAAATGTAATTTATGATGTTTTGCCTTTCTGTTTTTTTACTGTTAAACACTGGGCCTGAAAACAGATAAAAATAGGACTAAATTTAAAAAAAAAAGGTAATTAAAATATTTAATTTTAGAGACTTCTCTGCTTCTTAATGAAGATAAAATGCTAAACACATTTTTGAGCTTCTAGTATTTACTACTGCAATTAAATTATTGCCATTACATTAATAGTAACAGCCATAGGACAATAGTTTCTTGTTAAAATTGCCATTTCCACATTCTTTTTCAAGGAAGAGATTTGCTTAAGTTCCACAGAGGAGAGGAAAACATACAGTTTGCTCCTTTGTATTATCTCTTTCCCTGTTTCTCTACAAAAGAATTCAACCACACCTGAATTATCCAATAGAAATAATATACAGATGTAACAGGAGAGTCAGTCTGTGTACCACAAACATTATGATCAAGCCTATCAACTACATTATAGAAGAGTTTACATTTGCTGAATTGTTATGTTCTGTTTTAGAGATATCTTTTCATCACTAAAGAAAACTTCAAAAGATTTTAGGCTTTGACCTATCCAGGATAACTTTCAAAGTCTTTCATCAACCACTGAAACTGGATTAGCATCAGAAAATATCTCTACCTGATTAAAGAAGAAACTGAGGGACCTCTGGCTTAGCAAGAATCTATAAAATGTGTTTATTAAATTCAAGATATCACACACTTAAAATGGAATTCTTCAGTATTTTTTTGGGGAAGATTGTCTTATGATTTGATGAAGAGCTGATGAAGAGTCTGAAAAGATAATGTCAAAATCCAGAACCAAAATAATTAAGCTAATAGCTACAAGTACAGGCTGAGAGAGCAAATTTAACAAGGCAGGATGTGCTTATAAAAAATTCAGGGCAAAAAGGAAACACTGCTTTTCAATTTCATTTCCAAATATTACCCTTGATTCGACTTATAGTGTACTAGAGGAGTAGATAAAATTAGTCTTTAAATTCATCTCTTTCCTTACAGAAATGGAGAACAAAATGTTTACTGGTTTGTGGTTCAGCAGTGGTGGCCCCAGGCTTGGCCTCTTTTTAGCCACTGAAATGTACAGAAGTGTTTTCAAGGAACCCACATAATCTGGAAGCAAGAGTGGCAAAATAATGCCACTGAAATTGCCTATCTTAAAAAGAAAACTAAACAAACCTTAAAAGATTGTTTTCTTGAAGAAGTCAGACCTGGATGGTAGCATTTTAATAGCTGAATTTTTCTAGCTCTAATCATTGGTACCAGCTGATGCCTTTAATTCTAAAACACAGTTCAGTATTGCTGGAAAACTGGGAAGATGTTGTGCTGCAGCTGAAGCCATGAAACATGAACTAATGTGTACTTAAAAACTGCAATTGTTAAAAAGTAGAAAAATATTAAATTCTTGAAACACAATTTGGAAACAAGGTAACTGCTTGTAGAAAATGGTGCAAAACTCCTGCAGCTTTTGAACAGGCAGCCTGTAAGGCACAGAACTGCCTTTCTTATAAAGCTGCATGAGCATGAAAAAATTAGTGATTTCACCTTTCAAAGAATTAATTTAAAGCACATTTTGCATTATTCTTTTAGCTGTTTAAATGATATTTCATAGTAGCATTAAAACAGAACATTATGGATTCTATCAGAGACACAGAAAAGGAAAACTGTCATGTTCAAAATCAGAAATATAAAGAGAGATTGCAGTTTTCTATGATACACTGTAATATAATCATTAATCCTTGTGCTAATACAGATCAAGTCATTGAAACAGTTGTGATTTTTTTGTTTAGTTATTTAGTTAACTTATAAAATAATTTTTGTTTACTACAATGCATGATGTACAGCAGTATAATTTTTTCTTTTTCTACAATATTCCTGTATTAAAATTAAGCTATTACAAATCATATTTATAGAAATATTTATTGAAAAATAGCCTAAAATACAATTCAAGGACAAATCTGAAATACCAAAGTTCATGTTTGTTCAGTAGATCAGACCCTGTAATTTATTATTTTTACATTTGACCTCTGTTATCAATTGCTTGAAGTAACTACTGCCATAAATTTTTCAAAATATAAGAAAAAGGAAAATCTGGTATATAAGTAGAATTGAGTCAGGACTTTACTATTTTCTGTGGTTAAAAACAACAACAAAAAAACCCTAGTCCACTAGAAATATAAAACTATCAGAATCCACAGTATTACACTTAATAGTAGATTTTATTATTCAGTCTTTGTCTATACAGCAAGCACATGACTAAAGGTTACTAGTCTTGAGTCTCCAGTATCTGTCATTCCCTGCAGGTGACTGCACAGTTTCAAATTTGTGTGATGTATTCTAATAGTTTTAGACCTATAGTAGAGGCCCTTTTGCAATTCTTACAGTTTGTAAAATACTTGCCCATAGCATTTTCCAACATCAGTTTCCCACCAACAGTGTGAGATTCTAAGGCCCAATTCTCAGCTCAAGTAAGGTCCAGTGGAACTACTGATTTACCCCAGCTGTAGATTTGAATCTGCTGACATGCTGAATAATTGTTGATTCCGATGCAAGTTTCTATGTGTATATTATGAGCATTATAGTATTTGACCCCATGTAGTTCCTGAGTCAGAGCCGTTTAGTTAGCTGAAAACCCCCAAATGTTTACTTCTAGCACTGCTGCTGAACCATTAACTGTGATTATTATTAAACTGTAAAAAAAAGCCATACGAGTTAGTGTGCTTATTCCCTCACAGAAAAAATGCTAAGACCCCGATTTTAAGATCTAAATTGCTACTGACGATTAATGGAAAGCGACAGTCAAAGCTGAAAGAACAAAGCATAATTTTCAAAGATCTGACAGAGTATGAAGAACTGGCAAATTTTAAATTCTCTCTCACTGTCAGATATACTTCTATCTGGACTACATTTTGTGCATATTGAAAAATTAACTAAAATACCAAATCATACAGGCTTAAGAACATACTTTAATAAAACTGATTCATATCTGGGTGCTGATACTTTTGAATATATTAAGACTTCATATATATCCTATCAACATTTAAATCTGCAAGCATTCCATAGGCCAAAGAAAACGAAAAACTAATAAATACGCTGAAAAACCCCATACCTCAGTATGAAATCCTGACCCCTTCTCCAACTAAATACACACAGTCCAAATACACTGAGAATGCCAAGCTACAGGGGCCCCTCTGCGGGGAAACCTGTATTTCAGTCAGCAGCATCCGTCAGCTAAAACAGAAGTGTAGGGACAGATGCTGGAAGAAGGATGACACGTTTAAGTAGTGGCCGACTTTAGAACCAGTGTGTGGTTTTTTGTACAATTAAGTCAATGCCACACGTGTACTAATGCAGTATTTTGTCCAGATTTATGTGTGGAACATAACTATCACTCTGGGCTCATTTCAGTGCAAGATTATGGGGCTTGTAGGCTCCCGGTCCTACAGTCCTGTCACATTTCCCGGCAGGGTCACACAGCGAAGGAAAGAACAAGCGCATTGTGTACAACTCCCTTGGCTTCTGTGGCAAACATCACACTTGGGCGACGACTGCCAAGTTAAAATCCACAGGTCTTGGCCTGAAGCTTGTTTAGGCAGCGCCGTGCCGGTGCCTCTGGCCGGTGCACCGTTCCCTCCGTTTCAGGAAACCTCTGCATGTGGTGGCGGTCACGTCCGAGGGCTCGGAAAAGCCAGTCGGGAACTGCTGCGGCCCCTCTCTGCCCTTTCGATTAAAAGGGCCCGGGTGGAGGTTTGGGAACTAAAGTCAAATTTCGGTTCGCTCACAAGGGAAGCGCTTTGACACACGTGCTTGCGAGAACGACTGTGGTGGTGTCCAGCAGGGACCCGCCTGTCCCTCGGGCACCTCCTCGCGGAGCGCCCCTCACCCCCCGTACGCCACCGCGGCGGCGGGGCCGCGCCTCCCGAGCCGGCAGCCGCCGCACCCGGGAGGTGGCCGTGCGCTAGCAGTGCCCGCTGACACAGGTGAGAAATCACTCCACGAAGCAGCCCCGCTCTCCCCGCAGCTCCCCAGCCGCTCGGGATAAGCGGCCGGAAGCTCCCGTCCGCTTCCCAGGGAAGGGCGGGGGCGCCACCGCTCCCTCGGCGGGGCGGGGCGGGGCGGGGCGCGGGGGCGGTGCCGGCGCCTCGCGCGGCCGTTGGAAGTGGCGTCACGGCGGGCGCGCGCGCCTGCGCGAGGGCGGCGGATTCGAACGGCGGAGAGAGCGAGGGCGGCGGGAGGAGGAGGAACAGGAGCGGGAAAAAGAAGAAGAGCAGAGGAAGATGAGGCGCACGGTGCCCCGCAGCACTTTGCGGAAAATAATAAAGAAGTACAAGCCGCAGTTACGCCTGGCGGCGAACGCCGACCTGCTGGTGAGGAGAGAAAGAGGGGAGGGGCGAGGTTGGAGCTGCCCCGGGGAGCCCGGGGTCGGTTCTGCTCTTGGCCGCGGCGGTGCTGCGGCTCTGCTGGTTGCCTGGGGGCAGCCATCCCTCAGTGGGGACGTTTACGCTCTACATGTTTTGGGTGGTGCGCACTGGAGCACTTGGGAGCTGACGGGATGCCAAGTTCCTACTGATGGTGTTTCTGCAGTGACCTACGAGCAGAGGGGAGGCAAAGTTTGTGGGGAGATGGGCTGTTGGTTTGCCTAGTAACATACGGATAAGTAGAGATTGCTGCTCTTTTCTTTGGTGGGTGCTGTATTGGAGGGCTTTGACAGCGAGTTTGGGGATTCAGGGACGGGCTGATGCGTAATTATTGTGTCACTTCACGTACACACTGCTTTTCAAAGAGTTTGGTGTAGACGGACCGAGAAATATGACTTTGGCTTACGTGGCTATAACACGCAGATGTTTGTTGTTAATGTAGATCAATTTGGGTGTGCAAGTGGTCAATTGTGATCAATGAGTTGCTAAGCTGTTCAGGTATCTTGAATGATCATATATTTTTTGAAAGCCATCTAAGTAATCTCTGTCCAAAACTAAGGAATGACAAGACTTGTTGCTAATCTAATAAGGTGTGGGGATCCCGTTCATGGTTTAAAAATGCCTGCCAAAAAGGTGTAGAGCCATATCAAACAACTTTCCAAAAACTGAGGCCAACACAGCTACATCGCTTCTGATCTGCACTGAGGGATTTGTGACACAGGTAGGGTTTGTCTCACCAAGGAGTTATTTGACTACAGCAAGGATACCTGACCACAAGAGAGTTTGTGGTAGCTGCTATACTGAAAAAAAAATTGTGCATAAAAAGGATATTCTTTGAAGTGACTTAATAGGCTTAACTTGCTTGACTGTGTTGCCTTCTTGTTTACAAATGCATGTGATTCTCAGAGCATTAAAGTGTTAATGCATACTCTGTACTGGTATGGTCCCTGACTTGAATTGTAAGTCCATGTTCATACGTGTATGAAAGTTGTGTCTTGCAGCATCTTGAAGGTTGGTATCTGGATATATGAAGCTAAATGTAAACATACAAAATTAAAATAAATAATATGAGATTAATATGAATTAATAAAGTAATTGCATGAGAGTATTTAGACTTGAATGTAAACAGTAAATATTTCTCTAATTGAGCTAACAAAAACATGATTTCTTCCTACTGTTTTTGTTATCTTTGGAGTTTTTCATGGACTAAGGATCTAGCCCCTTGCTACTCATGCTCAGACCCAATGAAAGCTTATTCAGTGGAACGAAGTAGTCAATTAATCAAACTTACACAGTCACTAATACATTTTTTGTAGTCATTGGTGACAATTGGTCTGTGTTTCCAGGGTAATGAAAATTTGGCTTCAAATTAGTGTAGCTGTCTGAAAAGAGGTAAGTGGGACGTCCCTCCAAATCTTGGCCTTTGGTTCCCATTTCTTTGTGGTCCTGTCACTAGTGTTCTGTGTGCTGCAAAGACAATCAGTGAATTGAATTGACTGAAACTTATGAACAACAACAATCAGATCTAGCTTAAAATATGGCTAATCAAATGTTCATTCCCACACAAAGGAGGAATATCAGAATAAATTTTAATACTGTAATGGAAACTTAGATTATCTCTTCTGGTGTTGTCAAATTAAATGGCCTTTAATGTTACAAGGCTTGACTTTTTTGTTTTCTACCTTTAAATAGGAATGTCCAGGTGTGGTTGTTGTCCATAGTGTTCTTCAGCTAGGCACATGACTAACAGCTCTTTAGCTCTTTATTTTATGGACAAATAATCAACACAGCTGGAATTTTGCCTTAAAAAAAAAGTATGGAGGAGTTTATTCTGTACTTAGTAGTTAGACAAGTAACAAGTTTTGAGAATATGTTTTCTAGTGTCTCTTATTCTCTGCAAACACCATACCAGTGATTAGATTGCGTACTTCAGACATTTGTATAGTAATTGTCTTAACAAGATGGAACCATGTACATTTTGAGCGGACAGCTTGTGTCTTCTCCAGGGAAGAATGAGAATTGGCTAGTTCTGTTTCTAGTTTATCTTCCTGAATGATCCATGCTTTATGTTTGAATCTACTGCAGTACTTGTCCAGTTCAGTGAGATGGTCTGCCCACCTGGCTTAGGAGATAATCAGATTGTTTTTTTTACTGGACCTTCAGTGATTATTTTTAGTCGACTAAACCAATATCTTCATATGTGATCGTAACTAACAAGTTTGAAAGATGTAAGAATTCAGATAATTTTGTTAAATACTTGAATGGGGTTTCTTCTTTTCAGATTTTTTTGATCAAGTCTCCTTTCAAAATGTGAAGCTTTGTCAGAATCTGTTTCCTAAGTGTTAACATCTTTCTCTTTGCACAATGTAGGTATCAAATTTCATCAACCTTTCTCAGGAAGCTGTTTTGTTTTGTTTTTCTTTTGAAGGGGTATGATAATATCTTTGGGTGAAGAAATATGACGAGTGTTTCAGGTTTTTTCAAGGCTCTTTTTGAAAATAAGAGGTAAAGATTTTAGTACTGAAGTTCAGATATTCCTCCAATAGTCCGAGAAGAAAATATACAAACTTTGTTCTAGCTTGAAATTATAGGAGAAAAGCAGGATCTCAGCTGCTTGTTTTATGCTAGAAGGGCATGTGTGTATTTTCATTGCAGGAAAAGCTTAAAGTATTGCACTGAATGGCCTCTTTTTTCTTTGTTATCACCACAGAATGATTAATAAGTGTATGTTTAAGGCAAAATATTAGTCTAAAGAATTGTTTTGAAGTTAAGGCAGCAAAATAAAATTACAGAGCTTTTCCCTGCTATTCATTAGTTCTGTTGAGCAGGTGTGTGGAAGTTACTATGCAAACAGTGTTGTGAGTTTTTTACAAAGTTATTAAAACTTTGCAACCTTTCTTTTCTGGGAAGTAAGCATTCTGTTTTGTAAGGTGATTTGCACGAGTAGCTAATTCAAAACAGTTTTTAATTTTTATGCACAGGGACAATAATTTCATATGTAGTAAAGCAATGTCTTTGAACAAATATGGTATCACTTAGATACTTGTCAGTAACTGTCCTATTCATGGTATTTAGTCATTCTGCCTTTCATTAACTTTTCTCAATTGCTTTGAATAACCTGAAATATTTATTAACCTGTGTGCTCTGTTGTGGAATATGTTGTGACTATTGTTTAAATCTATTCAAGTTCAGAGGAAGCTTCTCCATATGCAGCAATTTACTTTGAAAATAGGAAAATAAAAGTAGAGCGATTCTGACAAGATGCAGTTTAGAAAGGCAGTTAATTTTAGAATTAACACTTTTGCCTTTAGGTATCTCAGCAAAAGGACTTGCAAGTATGGAAGCTTTTGTTCCACTTCCCTCTTCTCCCCCAGGTTATTTCCAGAAATCTAACCGTCACATTGATAAGTTTAACAGTGAGAGTTCTAATGTTGAACATTATTTTAGTGCCACTCTGTCAGAGATAATGTCTATGTGAGTTACTAGTTAAAAAACGGCTTTGATATTTTGCAAAGTAAATCTGCAAGAACATCTGCTTTTTGTGTATTTGATGCTTCCAAATTATGCTTCATTTAGTTCAGGATACAAAAAAATCCCAAATAGCTTGTCCTGTGAATGCTGTTCATATGACAAGAGCCTGTCCTCTAGCAGATTCTTATTGCTGCAAATTCTTTTTTGTTGCAAACCCACTTTATCTGTAACTTTCCATGTTATATCCATGTTATATTTTTCTAGGCTTTACAGGTCAGGTGCAGCAGAGTAAATACAGTGCCTAATTCATGTAAATAAAATTTTCATATATTTTAATAATATTTTTCTGAGCTCTTTATTGTGAAAGTATTTTTTGTACACTTTACATAGCAAAGGTAATACTGTTTGAAAGTTAAATTTGCAGAAGGTGCAATTATCAATTTTTCAGGTGGGACTGTTAAAATAGTTCGCATAATATTTGTATCATGTTAGAGGTTTGTATTACAGGTCCCTGATTACACAGAGGTGCTATTGACTGGTCGTTTTAGTCCAAGTTGGAGCAGTTCCTTCCTTGCCTGCTGAAATTTTTTGCAGCTTCTGTATTAGCAGAACAGAATTCCGTATTGAATGGAATTCTGCCCTACCAGTTCTTCTAATATAAAAAGGCTAAGTAAGTGATGAGCTCGGAAAAAATGGATGGAACCTTCCGACACGGGAGAATTTCTTGTTCTGGAGAAATTAATGTCAATGTCTCTTTGCACTGGAAAGAGGCAGAAATCCTTGATCTCATCTGTGGTCCATTTGGCGATAGAGCGGGGATGAATTTGTTGTTCATAAAAGTCTGGCTGTTGTAGTCAGTGAAAGCTGACTATATTTACTAGTAAGCAAGAAGGCTCCCGATTCTCTGATATTTATGTCTACATTTTATTATTAAAAATTGCTAATAAAAATCAGACTTGATTCCTATTAGATCAGTTGTCGTTTGATCATTTCTAAAGCATTTTTACAATTTGAGTATGCTAAACTTAAACTATAAGAGTCTTGCAGTAAAGGATGTTTTGGAAATTTACTAAGGCTTGAACTGAGTGATATATTGCTTTTCTGAGAACACCTTTCAGAAATTTGGAAACAGTCTAATATGCAAATCCTTTGTCCCAAACAATGAACCTCTAAAAAACCAAACTATGCTTAATCAAGTTTGAATCATTCTTGTTTTTTTTTGTTCTTTTCTTCCCTATTTTAAAGGTGCATTTGAACTTCTTACTGTTTCTCCATCGGCTAGCAGAAGAAGCCAGGACGAATGCTTTTGAGAACAAAAGTAAAATAATTAAACCCGAGCACACCATATCTGCCGCAAAGGTATTAAAGGACTTTTAAAACTTTTCTTTTTGCATAATGTAAAATGTATTATGACAGCATATACAAATATTTTCTATGTTAAAGTGATATCTTATTTATAATTCAAAATGTATAGAAACTTAATATTCTTTAGTCCATCACTGGCATAATTCACTGTTACCCAGACAGCAAATTATCTTTCCTTGCCCTATTAAGTATAACCTGTTTTTTTTATTATTATTATTATTATTATTATTCTGTGTTTAAACTCATAGTTTCTATGTAAGGGTAACTTTACAAAGTGGTCTACCAGCAAGCATTCATGGGTTGAAAGCCTCTCCAAAGTTGAGGATCCTTATTTCAGATGATACTACATCAAGGAAGCATGCTGTCTTAACTTCAGTTATATAAGTGAAACTTTATGGAACAAGTGAGAAATAGTTCAGAGAGGTTTGCATATTTTTTTGCACCTTCAGTTCTTACCTGCTTAGTCTGGAATAAATTTGTAGTGGATTCTTGCAGCACTGTGTGGATACTACTTGAACAAGCAGATACTTTGTGCGATGTTGTGTTTGGCAAGGAAAGAACGAAGGGAGGATTAAACTGTGGATTGCTATATGGGTAATTTAGCATAACCAAAATTGCTGTATGAATATCTGTGAAGGATGGTGAGTTTTGTATACATGCAAAAGAAGGGAAAAAGGAAGGTGTTAAGCAGCTTTCTCTATCTAGAAAGAATTAGTGTCAAGGTATGACTGAAATCCCTTTGTACTCTGTAGTGCATTTCACTCGCTAGGATATGTCTTGTGTATCTCTTTCAAGTCTATTTACCTTGGTGTCATGAAGGAACTTGGTCTCTTTAATTTGTTAACTATTTAACCACTTACTCCTGCTGGGCAAATTGGAAGAACAAAACTCGATGTTATCTGATATTTTGGTCCTGTGGCTTCTGTTTGTTTTCAGTATTTTTTTTTCCTCTGGTGAAAGGTTTAGTTTGATACATTCTATTACTATAGTAACAAAAATATATACAGGATATGTAGGGTAGCCAAGTGAATGTTACAGTTGGAATCTTATGCATTTGTAATCTCTTTTTAACTGCAATCTTAACATTATTTGAACATTTTTGTGTTCCATTTATTTTTTTAAGATGAAAAGAAAGGAAAAACTGCCTGTATTTTAATAATGTTAACACTTAAACAGTCCCACTTGGGCTTTGAAGTTCATTTTTCAATTTAAACTCCAAACCAAAAAATGTCCTTCCAAAGGTCTGTGTGCTCTTGATATAGAAAGAAATAAGGCATTGCAAACACAAATTGAACATAGTAGCTGTATGATGGCGAACCTTAATTTTTCTTTTTGTCTAGGCCTAACAGGGTAAGAACTTCAAGGAATCTACTGAGGGCTTGAGAGCACTATTATCATTTCTCAGCATGAATTTTTAAAATAAGTCTTTTATTTTACAGAATTTTTGCTTATGAATGTTCTTGCTTAAAAATAATCTCTGATATAAAATCTTTCAGTATGCTTTTGCTTTATTTCTAACGTTTTCCCTAGAATTTTCACCTTGGTGACTCAAGTCTTGGAAACAAATTGGCTAGGAGAACCTTTGGTCTGAGTAGCCTAGCATTTTGGACCTCAATTGTAGTGATAAAAGCGGTGATAAATATACTTTTTTTTCTTTTTGCAGGTTATTTTAAAGAAAAGCAGAGGCTAGAAAACAGACCACTGGAATTTTAAAGCATGTTTTTCCATCTTGTCTTACTAACTTGAGACACTGTGAGCCAGCTTTAGCACTTGTGGGAGTATGCAGTTTTATTGACGTCTATCTCCTGACTCTGAGTATCTTACTCTTTCTTTAAAAAAAAAATAAAAAAATCTTACAATGTCTATTTTCATACACTTCATGCATAATTTTAAAGTGAATGTCACTTGTCATTTAAGACTTTTGATGTACTTTATTTCTTTCCTAATGATGGAGGAATGCCTGTACCGTACATACTCTTACAATGTGGCATCTATTATTAGAAGTGTGAAACTTCTAAAGGAGAATAGTAATAAAAAAAATGCAGATTTCACAAAATCTGTTATAGATTGTGCAGTTCAAAGCAGATTTACTAGTTAAATAAAATCTTGGCTTTCAAAATAATCACTGTAGAAGCAAGTGTATTAAATATCTTGCCTTCAACTTATTAATTAATGTCTTAATATTTTTAAAATTACTTTGAAAAGTAGGTTAAAACTTCTCTGTTCTGGGGAAAGAATACATATTTGGTATTTTAAATCATGCTCTGAACTGTTAAGGTGACCTATTGTTTGCTGTGGTGTATGAGACAACTTGGTGGTCTGTAATTCAGTTGGTGTGGACAGATGCACAGATTATGGAGAAGAAAAGATCTGGCACAGCTGTTGTTTTTTAAGTTAGATCTTGTAAAAATAACAAAGATAAATTGTCATGAATGCCCAACTATTTCCTCCCCCCTTTTGAGTGTCATCCTAACTTGTCATAGTTCTGGAAATGTACGTTATATAAATATGTCTTCTTAAATTAAGATCATATTCTATTCCTGATATGATACTTGTAACCATTTACTGAACACTTTGCTTAAGGGATGTTTTAATAAAATTGTAGTTGAATCTCACAGTTTGAGCTGATAATACAGTTTTGTGGAATATGTGGTAGCTGATCCTTCATATGCACAATGAACTATTCTTAAAATAAAGGATCTTTAAAAGTGTTATGTAGTAGTCTAATTTTGTTTAACATCGTACTGAATATATTCTAGAAACTCAGCAAAAAAGAATTGCATTTTAGAAATATTTTAGTAGTCTAAGAAAACTGTAGCAATGCCAGTACTTTTAATTTCATGTCATGTCCACGTGCTTTTTAAAATCCTGTGCAGCCTTTGAAAAGTCATTCTTTTCCAGTATGCAGAAATGAAGGATTACTCTTCCACTTAACTCAGAGAGCTTAGTTCAGTGAGCTTCTTTTAAGGGTTGACGAGATTATTCTGCCTTTTCTTTTCTTACTCCCTTGGAATCCACAAAGAAGGCTGAGAACCTACACATGTAGAGGATTTAATAATCTCAAGTACATTCTCAGGAATAAGGAAGATCTAAGTATTTATATTTTTCTTTGTAATTACTGTCTGTGATTTAACAATTTTATTGCAACACTAGATCTTCTTATGTTAGAAATGTTTTCTCCTAATTTTCCCTGAAATGTTTTATTATAGTCTTGATTTTCCTAGGAGCAAGATCCACTCTGAGCATAGTGTGGAATATTCTTATTCCCGTGTAGTAGATTGGTGATCAGCTACCACTGGGTAAGGGAGGCAATGAAGGGTTGAAACCAACCAGTGTACTTTTAAAATATTTTATACAGTGGTTTTGGCCTGTATTCATGGTTAAGAAGTGCCCTTTTTTAGTAGGAGAGAGACTTTTGACAGTCCATTGTCACTGTTTTGTAATAGCTGAAGAAGGCAGGTATTAAGAAGACCTGGATAACTTGGCAGGTATTCAGGCTTCTCTCTTAAACTTTAAATAAATACTTACTGGAAATTAATGTGGTCGATGTAGTGTGCTTAAGCATTCAGAAATATAAAATGCTATTATGTTTTTCTAGTATCTTCTTGAATGTTCACCATAAAGTTAATTATATTAGTATTTGGCAGCTCTTCTGTACTCCTTCATGTATATACGTGGGTCACTCCTGTATACAGTACTCCTTACTGGATTTTTAAAATCAAAACTCTGTACAGCAGTATTGTCTAAATACCCATGAACACTTCCAATTAATATAAACTTGGAGGCTATAGTAATAATCTATTTCTGTTATCAAATCTCTATTTAATGACAGAGCATCAAAGCACATAGGTCTATAAAGTATTCTTTTAAACCAGATCTGTACTAGAAAGCTTAATGAAGTTATGTTCTTTTATTTGAATTCCTGTGTTGATTCTGCTGTTAGGAGGAAAAAGGCAAGGATTACTGAGGGAAGAGTCATGCTGATGCATTTATAAGGTGTCTCTCCTATTCAACTGTTTTCATGAAACCTTGAGAAATATAGAGTTCTGAGACAATTGATTCACTATTGAATTTCCTCTGGTTTTAAAGATAAGATTCAAGAGATTTTGGGAAAGAGATGCTCTCTAACAATACAGTTATGACTCCTTATTTCCTTAGAAAGCAGGACCTAAAAAATTAAAGTGGCTTTAAGACATCCAGTTTTTCCATATTCTTCTCTTTGCAGGTTTCCCAATGTTCTGTTTTTCATCCTACCCCGCCCTTTTACTATGACCATCAATGAAAGGGTGAAAAGTGAAAATGAAAAAATAGAAGAATTTGACCAAAGTACTTCTGATGACTCTTGTCTTGGTTTTCAGCTTTTCACGTGGCTGATGTTAGTCCTTGGGCCAGGGTGGTATCATAACTGATTAATGCACGAAAGAAGAAAAAATGTTTGTTGATCAGCGGGTGACTATGAGGAAAGAGAGTGGTGCTGCTGCTATATTTGTTTGATCTCCCTTATGGAGTGACTGATGAAAGGAGATCTGCTGTTTGCCCACTTGAGTAAGTCTTCTGCTGAGGAGTATACACTATTCCAGCTCTTGTGCTTGCATCATTTTGCTTGCAAGATAAGCAAGCACAGAAGATAGTTGTGAAATCTTTAAAATTACATTCATGCATACTATTGTATTAATTTGTAGAGCAAGTAAGCTTAATATTTTATGAGTGGTATAAATCACCTGATTATTAGGTTTAAAGCTATTTTAAAAAGTGTAAGCATTAAGAACGGTATGTCAGGGAAGGTTAGATCTGTGGAGAGATTTAGCCATTTTAACTCCTAATGGTGTCAACAGAATAAATGAACTTGTTAACTTTAGTGGGTTGGGAACCCAAGTAATCACTGTTCTATTTGAATGTAAATATGTCTGCTGTTTTGAGTCAGAAAATCAACACGGTGCTAGAGAGGATATTCATGCCGTGGAGTTTCATTTTGTTTTTTTCTGGAGAAGTGAGGGACTGCTAAAAAAAGAATCTTAGGTTTTGTAATACAAATAGTCAATATTGTCTGGTTATAGTCATACAGTAAAAGAAAAATAAATTCAGAAATATGGATACTGTAATAAGAAAAATTCTTTTTCTAGCCAGAAGGTGGGGATAGAGCAAAAACACTCTTTTTTTTTCCCCCTGTGGTAACTTTCCAGTATTCAGTTTATTCTTACTAAAAAGTATGTTATAGATTGTGACACTTTCAGATTTTTTGAAGACTACCAACCCTACACTGCTGATATATGTAGGGCAATTTATGTTAAAAAAAAAATCCCATTCACATCAAACAAGGGTGTTCTGATCCATGCTGAGACAATAAAAGATATGTGAGACTTTGAAGGATCTTGAAGATATTCCTTAATTCAAAGCTCAATGTTTCAGTATCATATAGTTTTCTTAATTATAAGTGGTTATTTGTACAACATAGCCTTGTTTTTAGAAACTAGTATGTTCTATGTGCAGTTTTATGAAGGAAATTCTTGTACAAGACATTGCTTATATGGCAGCCTTAACTATGAAACATATCGCTCATATTGGCTGACTTGCTGACTTGGCATTCCGTTAGTCATTTATCAGCTTAGAACAACTAATGATAGGGCATTGTAACTCCTAAATGCATAGGGCTTTGGGGTGATTTATGAGTATATATTTAGAAAGTGTGACTTAAATTTCAAATAAAAGTGCTGATTACAGTGAATCAAAATTCCTTTTTCCAGAGCTGTGAAATACGTGTGACATTCAAGTTCTTTAGAATATTCAAAGTGCTGTGCGTAATTGTTTTTCAGTTCAATATCCTATATATTTGTATTGGCATATAGATTCTTTGATATGTTTTAATGGCACTGTACTTGTTGCTGCTGTGGTAGCTTGTTTGGATATGATAAAAAGGCATACTATAACAAATCTCTTACATATTTGAGTAGTTTCAATTCCAGGGTGAGAAGATGATGACAGTATTTTTGTTGTGCTAAATACTGAATTGCAACTTTTTTAGGAAGTTGAAGAGTTTCCACCTGACAGCTCATGGTTTTGCAGACATAATCAGTTGGAATTCATTCATTTACTGTTTGGTGAACGATGTTGAGGGTTTTTCAGTTTCCTTGGCGTCCATAGTCATCAAATTCACATTGGCTTTGGTACGTAGTATTCCCCTGTGGGCTGGGTTATTAATGTTATCCTGACCAAACTGCTGAAAGATCTTTTCAGGTCATTTGATATCTGTAAGATCAGGTTTCTTATTGAGAAGGTCACTTTCCTGGGGGAGTGATTTCAGAGCATAGAGAATTTGGTGGAGCGTAGAAAAACACCTGAATAGCCCTAAAGTAACTTCTGGTTTAAAAAAAAAAAAAAGTAGACACAATCTTACTACTGGGTAATAACAGGCAATAACGTGACTGCAGCAGTAAAATAAAAGCAAGAACACTTCCTACATTAATGGCTTGTTCTTGACTTCTAGCACTACGTCAGGCTCTGCAGAAACAGACTCCTATTTTGTTTTCTGAGTCTGTAAAAAGAAAGATATATATGATAGATATATATGTTGGCAATGGGACAGATCCTGAATCAAAATTATATAGGGCAAACACTTCCACACATCCCTTATATCGGATTTAAATTGGTATAATTGTATTTGTGCTGACCTCTAAAATTGACAGCCTAATGTAAATTGTTTTCATTTGTTTAACTTCATTAGTTAAGTACACAAACACATTAGATTATATCACAAATCAGTGTCAATGAGACTGCTGCAAATTTTATGAATAAACCAGAGAAAGGAACACGTTTAAGCAACATGTAAGCCAGTTTTCAAAATTCTATTGAATATCTGAAATCTTAGTGCAAGCCAGCCTCAAGTCTTAGCTGTTGAAACTGTTATTCACAGGGTAAAAGCTAAAGTTACCATAGTAATGGTGGGTTACATTTAAAAGTTTAAATTCTTTATTTTTTTAGTTGGCTTTCACTCTTCAGAGAAAACTATGTGTGTACAATGCTGCTTCCAAAATTTGTCAAAAAAAAAAAGAGGGAGCAGTAAAGAAAATGGAAAGATAAAGGCATGTCATAGGAGATTATTATCTGGCCAACCTTAACTGCATTTCTGTAGTCTCACAATTTGTGTTTCATGTTG